TATATTTGTAATATTGGGCATTTGATCTGTATAGCTTATTTACTACTAGTCACAAGTTTATAGCCTTAAACACCGTTCATTTTATCTTCCTCCCATCCCCGGATAACCACTATTTTACTTTGTATTTCAGTGTTTAAACTTGTTTAGATTCTACACAAAAGTAATATCATATAGTCCTTGTCTTTCTCTGACGTAGAAGTGTTGTTCTTAATGACCGATTGTGCTGTCTTTGGGCAAGTATAAATCTGTTCTCAGGGAGCTCGGTTTCCCCATCTGCAGTGAGGACTCTATAAAGCATATTGGCATGTAAAACGGATTCTTCTAGAAGGCCCTTGACTTTGACTTTCTTGGATACGGCAGCTATAAAAACCAAAAATACCTGAGCCAGATTTTCCTTGTGCCCGAGCTCCCTGCCCCAGGAGGATGTAAAACGCTTTTCAAAAGTACCATTAGCTCCGGTGAATTGCGACTTCCTTGTGTTATATGGTACCCAGGTGGCTTTTAAGTGTTAACACAACTTCCTCAAAACTGCCTCCCTGGGTCCCAAGGATTAACTAAGGTACTTGGAAGGTGAGATCTGCTCATCGTTTTAAGATTTTCTGTATTTTTTTAATAGGGAATCTCCAGTGAGGCCACCCCAGAGTTTCCATTTTATAGGAATGCCCCTTCCCAGCAAGAAAGAATGTTTAGGAAGCTAGGTGTGACATCTCCAACATGAAAACAATAAAAAAATGGTTCCAGTTGCCAATCGGAAATGAATGTTACCTTTCCAATAAGAAAGAGTGTTTTTATGAAGCTTACTCTAACATTCTTTAAGCCTGCCTTTCGGCAGTGAAGAGAACACGGTGAAAGTGTCTATGCACGCCTATGTTAAGACCCCTCCGTGTTGAGGTCTCAGAAGAGAACTGTCCTCTGTCCTTCAGTTGGCTTTACCATTCCTTGTTTTCTTCTTTAGGTAGAAATATTACCTCAAGTTCAAGGCTCGTGCCTTAGCTCAAGCCCTAGCTTCATGCAGTTTTACAGAGATTTTTGTAGAGTGAGTGTCTATGAAAATCATAGCAATTTGCGGTCTTGGATTACCCCCAAATACTAAGCAGAAACCCGTGTCTTTCGGTGACAAATACCACAAGCCCGGGGGAAAAAAGAAAACGTAGCATGTGGAAAAAGAAGGCAAATAAAAGGGGGTAAATAAAAAAGTGGGTAAAAGTACCAGAGGTGTATCCCCCCATTTCCAGAGAAACCACTCAGTCACCACGAACACTTAAACCTACTTGGGAACCTCTCATCAGAGGAGCAAGTAAGACTCTCTATCAAAAATCATAAGAGAAACATTCATTACAAAACTGAGCAAAACATGATTTTGCTCAAGCTTATCAGAGCAAGAAAAAAGGAAATTCTATAAAGGCCTTTTCCAACTGCATTTGTACAAAATATATTCCATGTTGTTGATCCACATGACATTTAAATCAAGTTTATTTTCAGAATGGTAACCTGAACAGGACTGTTATACTGTGTGTGTGTGTGTGTGTGTGTGTGTGTGTGTGTGTGTGTTGGGAGAGGGATTGCTGGGGTCAGAGACCATAAATGATAAACAATGAGTAATAATCGTGTGGGAGGTAAAACACATCTACCTTTTTATGCCGTTATATTTGTAATTATTAAATCCCAGACTTGAGAGAGAGAAAACCGCAGGTTCAGTAATAAAAACTATGGTATCTGCCCAAATTTTGCAAGAATAAAATCTGTGTGTGCCAGGGAGTTTTGATGGATGATGAAACATCTTACATTTTGCTCTCAAGGCTTTACCAGGTCTCCAGGACCACGGCTGAATTATAGCTTTGAAATGCTCAGAAATGTACACTTGATTCCTTAGGTAAATTATACATGAAGCTATGCTTTAAGCGTTTTCTAAATTTATAGTTGCTTTAAATGGTATAGAATCCCAAAGTGTTTGGCCTCAAAGTAGAGAAAAAAAATTATGCTGATTTTAAAATAATGTTCTGTTTTCATTAAAACATGTACATGCGTTATGGGAAATTTGGGAGCTCCATAAAAGAAAAAGAAGAAGAAATCATGCATAATTTAGCGCTCGGCAATGAAGACCATTGTATCATCTCCTCACATATTCTTTCCTCCGACATTTATCGCGGCCACACGGTAGAACGTTGTATGGATGTACCACGGTTTATTGAACAAATTCCTTGTTCTTAGAAGTTGAGGCTTGTTTTTGAGGTCTTGTCCCAGTACATAATATGACAATGATCTGTATACGGATCCATTCGATCTCCTGCCATTAACTCTGGGCAGGAACAAGCGCACATGAAGAGAAAATGAGAAACATGGCGGTGGCGAAGAAGCGTCGCTTTCTAGGAGGTCGGCTCTGCCTCCCTTAGGCCCTGTGGGCCAGTGCCTGACTCGCCTGCTGCCTCCAGGGCTGGGTGGCAGTCTCCTCATTCAGAGACCCGCTTTGGATAGTTTCATGGGGAGAGATCCAGAAGACTCCCGGGGAGATTCTAGAAACACCTCGTCTTCCAGCTCCAGGAGGGCGGACAGCTCTGGGGGTGAGTCTAAGCTGGAGACTGGGATCTGTGGGAGTGAGGGGAGGGAGCAGCAGGCACGGTGGAAAGTCTTCTGTTGGCATGTATACTATATCCCATTGCTTTGAGAAACACTGTGGCTCTCCTGCCCGGACGACTCCTGGGGTGCCGCATGCCCTCGGGTGGGTGCACAGGGTAGTAACAGGCTGCTTTTATGATTCTTGCCTTGGCAGGGACAGCGTCCACCCTGTGCTCTCCTGTTGCAAAATCTTCACTGAGTCCTTAGAGCCCACACAGCGTAATTCCTTAGTCTGGAATTACGTAAATGAACTGCCCTCTCCCTCTCTGGCCCAGCCTCACCTCGCCACTCGTTCTGAAAGTGCTGTCAGGACTCTGTGCTCTCAGCCCCCTGAGCTTGAAATGTCCTTCCTCACTTTCAAAGTCTCCCTCTTTCTGTAAAACATCATGTTCTCTGTGGAGCCTTCTCCAAGAGTCCAGGCAGAGTTACCTTCTCCTCACTCTCGTCCTCATACGGTCTCAACCTCAGGTTGGATGTCCCCGCATTGCCTCCCCCAGGATGCTGTGAACCTCTTCACGGTGAGGATTGAGTCTCTGTGTGTCTGGCTTCTCGGTAGTGAGAACAGAGTCTGACACACAAAAGGCACAGCTTTCCAGTTTCAATTTATTTTCACACGAATGGGTTGAATATTTGAAGCCACCAAACTCAGGAATTTGCTGCTGAGGATATATTGGATATATTGGATATACTTAGGATATATTGAGAGCATATATGCCAAGAGAAATAATTGTTTTAAAGTTTATTTATTTATTTTGAGACAGAGTGTGCAGGGAAGGGGCAGAGAGAGGGACAGAGAGAATCCCAAGCAGGCTCCACACCATCAGCACAGACCTGGACGCAGGACTCAGTCTCACAACCCTGAGATCACGACCTGGGCTGAAATCAAGAGTCGGACGCTTAACCGACTGAGCCCCGAGGCGCCCCTGCAGCGAAATATTTTTAAACAGCATTAATGAGCCAATATCCACCTTTATAATGAAGTCGTCTGTGCAATCCACCTGACCTGGTTATTAAAATGGGGGTAAAGTCACAAAACAAATTTGTCACAAAACGATTTTTGAAAAATCTGTTGCTTTTCATTATATCCTGTTTTGAAAATGAACACCAAAAGAAGTAACACAACAGAAAAGTCGCAGCATCATATTATCTTCTTTAGAAGTATGTATCTCTTTTTCACCTTGGTTTACTGAAGTATTCATGGGAAGAGCAGAGAATCTTAGAATTTATGTGAAACCCAGAATAGGTCCCCACACATCCCCTTATTAGAAGGCTCGGTACAGTGGGACCTCAATATAAAGATGGAGGTTGTTATCAAATGGTTACAAGTCCTTTCATAAGAGACTCTTAAAAACTGAGAACAAACTGAGGGTTGATGGGGGGTGGGAGGGCGGGGAGGGTGGGTGATGGGCACTGAGGAGGGCACCTGTTGGGATGAGCACTGGGTGTTGTACGGAAACCAATTTGACAATAAACTTCATATTTTAAAAAAAACCAAATGGTTACAAGTCACTAATAGGAACACCCAGTGAATGTTTCAAAAGTAAATATAAACTAATATATTCCTTTGAGTGGCTCTTAATAATTTTTTTCTCACTGAGTTCTTGGGAAGGGCCACCAAAATTCACGGTGCGTGAAAGCCCAGAAAACTTCATGTGGTGGCCATTTTACGCAAGAAGTGAAACAGTTTGAAAAGTACCTTCCACACACTTGAATTTTACTTTGATAGTCAGGGTTTGGTATAAGGAGAGTTTATCTTGGAAGGCACACTAAGAAATGAAGTGAATTTAATCCTACCGGATCTTGGTGTAAGGTGAGTTTACCTGCAGAGGCTGTCAGGGCAGAGAACCACAGGGGGTCCCTGTGGTTGTCCCACCCATGCTGGGGCAGCCATAGCTCCCTGTGTGTGTAAGCAATTCTGGGGACAAGGACTGCGTGCATTGTGTGTAAAGGACAGTAAGGACCCCGGACAGAGGCGACCAGGGGAACAACACCAGTCCTGAAGGGTTTTCCAAGGGAATGTCAACCTTCAGGATTACAGAAAACGAGTTTCTAAAGGGAAAGCAGCTTGCACTTGACTTACGTTATTTCCATGCTTACATTTACATTTTAGTTAAATGCGGACGCTGTCAGTATTTTTGAGCTTTCTTCCACTTGAAAGTCATTTAAACAAGAGCCTAGATAAGTAAGATGGAGATGGGAACGTGCAGGAGAGGCACCCAGGATGGGTTTCTTGTGGGGAAGATCCCAGGAAGTTGAAGGTTGACATAACACAGGGGCATATACTAAACGAAACAGAACAACATCACAGTTCTTGAAAAGTATAGAGGCATCACACACAAAATAGAAGACCAGTCCTAGAGGAAAAAAATCCTGACGTTGTTAACAGTCTGTGCCTCTGGGTAACGAAGAAAGAGGGAGACTTAAACTTTTTATTTTGGGCTCTACGTCTGGATCTTTTAAAAAATACTATTATATGCATGCCTTGCTTTTAGTCAAGGAAGAAAACCTTAAAGTAACTCTAATGGGTACACCCTTTAAAAATAAGCAGCTTTGATTTCAGGTCCTCAGGCTATGACTCAATGTGTTGAATCTTTTAAAGACGCTGCCTTCGTAGTCTGTGTAGCACTAAATTGTTGCTGTTGTTTCCATTAAACATCTATTAACTGTACCAAAATGCTCTATAAAATAAAAATGAGATACTTATAGCAATTTCCTTAAAATCTAAAAACCAACGAAAGAGAGAGAAAACAATGGGGCTTATCTTTTCCCCCACAAGTCACCTTGTTTTCATGTGTCCTCAAATTCATCTAATGCATGAACCTTTTCAACTTAAATGTAATATAAGCAAAGTACAAATAATTCCCAGTGATAGCACTCTTAAAGAAATGCCCCATAAAATCATGGCATTTGTATTCTATTTCATGAAAATGTAATCCCCCCCTCCCTTCTTCAACCCAGGTGAAATGAGATTGGGTCTTAACAAAGCATTTTGTTTATTGTTCCCCGTGTATTAATAGGGGACCAATAAAGCCTTTTAAATGAAATGTAATTCAATAGAATTAGTTTGAAAATAAGTAGAGCACGTGTGGTTAACTTTGCTTTTGAAATTACCCTATCAGGTGCAGATCTTTGTAATTAAAGAATCCTAATTCACAATTCTCTGAATCACTGCATTTGGCAGGCAAATGCCAGTAATTTTCATTTCACAACACAGTGCCTCAGACAGTAATAAGCCAGAACGAAACACATGCAGGTTTAATCAGGTAACAAAGCATGTCAAATACTTATCCTGAAACAAGGGAGTCTGGCACATGAAGTGTGAGCCTCCGAGAAGTCCCTTAGGGGATGTTATATTCTCTGATCTGTACCTTTTCACAGCTTCTGCTGACACCTTTAAGAGCAAAAAAAAAAAAAAAAAAAAAAAAAAAAAATCCCGAATGGGCGTCAGTATTCAAAACAAATCACTCTCAATAGGACTTCTGGGAGCCAAAGACACAAACACAGGTGCGCACACACACATGCATAAATGCACACATATGCACATATGCACATTCATTCACCGATGAGTATCAATGCACGTATAGATGCAGATAATTTTTTTAAAAAAAGGTACTTAAAGAATAGTCTTTGCTGATCATCAAGTAACCTTGGTTTAAATGCCATAAGAAGGGGGAAAGAATGCTACATTTAAATTTTAGGAAACTATATAAAAGTTCAACTTTTTGGTCTCTAGGGTTCCCAACTAGCTGTCTTAGAACCCAGAAACAACCTATCAAAGTGTTGCTTTTAGACGGAGAATCACAAGGCAGGAAGACTTTCCATGGCTCTCTTACAGCAGCCTGGGGATCCTAAGGGACCTGAGACCTAAAATCTCTGGACTATGGAGCAACCAAGGGGCTAGTGAGCAGAAAAGTTTGTAAAATACATCACTGTAGCCTACGTTCAAAGGTAAGTCTCATCCACCAGTGGACATGATTGCCCACAATAGTGCCTCCCTTAGACCTAGAGAGCCAGGGTGGCCAGCCTGGAACCCTCTTTTTGCTCTGCCTCTCCCTGTGGGGTGAAGAGTCCGTAGGGCCAGGGGGAAGAGCCCATCAGAATCCCTGTCACGAAGGTTGGGGTATGGGGTCCCCAGAACACACACCCTCACCTCAAACAACTGGAAGTCATTTCCAAGGTCCTTGCTGTCTTTTTCTGAGGTCCATCCTCCTGAGGGCAGAGTTTATTGCTGGGGTACATACTCTAGGCCCAAGGTGGTGGCCAAAGGCTGATTGTTGGAGTGGCTATGACTCAGATCTTGGGTTGGGGTAGCCATAAGTATGTGCTCTATGTCTTTGGTGAGGTAGATAGAATATAAGCGGGAGAGAACTGGGAGTGAGCCCCGGGTGGAGGCAGGTGGATCTATTTATTCACTTTGCCCAGCCCCACATCATTAGGAAAGGACCTGGCCACATTTCTGCTGAGAAAACCTTATGTAGGTTAATCTGAGGCCTCAGGATCTCAACGGGATGATGTATTTAGCTCCTTTCCAATCTCCTTTCTAGTCATGACCAAGAAGCTCTCCTTGGTGGCCTTCCATGGTTATCTGACATTCAATGACAAACTTATTTTCAACTGTAGTAATGAAACAAAATGAAATATAAAAATGCCTAGTAAAGAAACATAGTGAAGATTTTCTTTTCCTGGTCATTGTATACATATAATCAAGCCAGTTGAAAATTAAAATAAAGTTTTACAGTATGAGCAGTTATGCAAGTAATGGGTGAAAACTTTATAAATAAAGTAGTTTTTGAAAAAGAGGGGAAGCATATCTACATATTTGTTGCAATCATGAGCATACGTTTCAGTCTAATAGCAAGTACATCAAAATTACATGAGTAATAATTTAAAAATTTGGACACTAAAAGTCAAATATTTCAGGTATAAACTAAGATTGGTGTTTACCAAACAAAAATAGTATGGTTTGCAATTTGCACCTTATTTCTCTGTTTTAAATTTTAAACACGAATGAAAGTGCTGCATAGTTACAATGAATGACAGAATTGAAATGACTGAAATCTGTTTCTTATCCTTTCCACTCACTATGTGTTATGGACGGAATTATATCCCCTCCCCACCAAATCCATATGTTGAAGTTCTGATCCCCAATGTGATTGTATTTGGAGATGGGGCCTTTATGGAGGTAACTAAGGATAAGCAAAGTCATGAAGGTAGGCCCTGACCTTGTAGGATTGCTGACATAATAAGAAGAGAAAGACACTGGAAATCTGTCTCTGGGTGTGCACAGAAGAGAGGCCATTTGAGGACTTCGTGAGAAGATGGCCATCTACAAGTGGAAGAGAGAGGCCTCAAGAGAAATCAGTTTTGCTAGCACTTTGATCTTGTACGTCTAGCCTTCAGAACTGCGAGAAAATTGTTACGTTTAAGCCCCCTAGTCTGTGCTATTTTGTTATGCAGCCCAAGCTGACTAATATCCCGTGATTGTTTTTTTATTGTTTATTTTGTATCTATTATTTAATTGCAGGAATGTGTAGTACCGTAGAACATGAAAAGTACACTGTCACTGAAACAAGCTTGAACAATTTCAAATCGCTCGCCACAGACTCTTGAAAGAAAATGTGCTGCTCGGGGCGCCTGGGTGGCGCAGTCGGTTAAGCGTCCGACTTCAGCCAGGTCACGATCTCGCGGTCCGTGAGTTCGGGCCCCGCGTCAGGCTCTGGGCTGATGGCTCAGAGCCTGGAGCCTGTTTCCGATTCTGTGTCTCCCTCTCTCTCTGCCCCTCCCCCGTTCATGCTCTCTCTCTGTCCCAAAAATAAATAGACGTTGAAAAAAAAAAAAAAAAGAAAATGTGCTGCTCAGTTGGCGTGGGTGGGGGCCGGTGGGGAAAGTGGGATTCTCTTCATTAAGTTCTAAGTAAAACACCGTGCTTAGTAAAGAACGCATAATCAAAGCATGCTCATTTGATATGATACTTTTATGTGTAAAATCAATAAAAACTTCAGCAATTATTCTAAACATTAGAGATGAAAAAAGATTTTTTTTTAGGAAGGCATGTTTTATCACTGACATTTTTAGAAGTGCCAGCGCATGGAGATAATAAAAAACAGACAGACTTGTACCTGATTTTATCGCTGCTTGTAAATTCTCTACAAATCCCGTACCCCTTTATTACCTGCATTCAGAAGGACCACTTCCACAGCTCTACCTTTGATATCCCACTGTCCCTCCTTTTTCTGGATCTTCTGAGAAGCAGCCATTGGCCTCATGGGACAGTAGCTATAGTCATCTCAGTGGGTCTCACATCACATGAGGACTCAGGCATCGTGATCCCCGAAGGAAGGGAACTGACCATCTGCCACTCTAACTTCAGGGTTGAAGTAATAGTTCCTTCAGGTTACAGCGGTCCTGCATCACATGGGAGGAGAAAAAAAGGAGTGGTAGAAAATACATTGAGCCTCTGTCCAGACTTCGTTGTCAGCAAATGATAAAGGAGTCTTTTGGGGGTCTATTTTCAGGTTGATCCCTTGGATCCTGTTATTATAGCAGGTAGTACTAATAGGTAAAAGACTATTGGCTCCAATACTAATATCCCATGTGATTTACTAGCTTGCTGAATTTTGGCATCTCCAGTGTTACTTAGAGCTGAAAAGGTACATTGAGACTGTGTTTAGTCATTGGCAAGCTATGGAGCTAAAAGGAGCTTTGGTTGGCTTTAAGAGCCACAAGGGGAAGTCTGGTTGCTAAAAGGAAAGGAAGATAAGAAATTCTAGCTCTTTTTTAAGAAGGAGCTTCAAGCAGTTCTGTTGCGGAAAGCCCTACCACTCATCTCTGATTTAATAATTATATTTTCCGACAGTTCCCCTCATCTACCATAGCACTTATTAGTTGAGTGCCAGCTATCTCCTTGGTATAGAACAGAACTCCACCCCTCCATCTCCTGGAGTAGAAAATTCCAGAAAGATGGTGCTTGCGGGGAGCTGGAGAGTCCTGTAAACAAGCCATTAAAATGATGTTTAAAAACAAACAAAAAAAGATCTGTCCATTTCAGAGTTAATTTTAAAATATGTATTTCAAAACAATGGAGGGATTTGAAAAAACCTACCAGCTGGACTTCTAAGGGGAAACAATGCCTGATACATAGCAGGTGCTCAATAAATAGGTATTGAGTGAAGGTTCTCAGCTCCTTAAAAGAAAGCAATGATTTACTTAATTTTCGGCTAATTGTTTAAAAACAAAGACTACACGAATATGTCCATTTTTCACTCTCATACTGGCAAGCTTTATGACTTAAACAAAAGGAAGAGGAAGAAATGGAGCTTCGGTGAGTAGTGGTGTCCATGAGTGGCAATGACAGAATTGGTATGAAGAAGGGAAATCCCGGAGTCTGAATCTGTGGCCTGAACCAGACTCTTGAGACATCTGGTGGGACAAACAATTCCTCGGGAGAGGTCAGGCCACAGATCAGAGCACAAAGCAGCCTGCCCTTGGATGGCGAGATAAGGTGACATATGGCGGAGGGAAAGAGACCCTTCTAGGCCCTTTCAACAGGGCCAGCTAAGGGGTGGCCACAGATGTATGGACAGCCAAGGGACTTGCAGAACATTGGGCTTTTTTTCCCACCTCATCTGGAGCTCTCCTTCTTGCCAGACAACCTGGCAAGTCAATAAGTCTTCCTAGACCTAAAGAGGGAAGGTGTAACTCAGCATTCTGACCAATGATCTAATCAGATCATCGACCCAAAATGCCTGAGGTCAGAAAGTCATCACCTATTGCCAAAACATTTAGGTTTCCAAAAGGTGGCTCTGAGTAAATTGCATCCTTCTGAGGGCAATGATAACCACACTCAGAGTGTGCTGTCTTATTCCCTTTTTATTATAACTAGACACCAGGTAACAGCTTGGCAGAGACATTGTAGAGTAATTTCAACTGCAGATAACTGGGTAGAATAGAAATACTTCAAAGTCCTTTCTTAGGCGGAGATTCTTTTGTGTGATTGCTTTCTATTCTCACCTTACATTCCCATATTCCACTCCATTAACAGATGCTGGGACCAAGCACGTATAAATGGATGATGTTCAAGTCGGACATGGAAGGAAGAAACATCTAACCACCGCCGCCCCCTCCTCGATCTATTCCCTCTTCCTTTGAGAAAAACGTCGTATCAGTAACAAAAGTTCAAGGTAAGTATCCAGTAGTGTCACTTGCTAGTGTTTTATTTTTGGTGAGAGAGGCTTCCACAAAGCGTAATCCAGAGCTAAACCCAGAAGGTCATGTTCCCTGAAGCTCTTTCCTCGATAAGGGATATTATCAAATTGCCCTTTTCTACCCAGCTTTGCAGGTCACCAGATTTCTCCTAGTCCAGAGACCTTGAAGCAGAAAACAAAAATGGGGTAATCTTAATCATGTGACCGTGTGGGGGGCTCAGTGCCTGCACTGTCCCATGAAGAGTGAAGAAACAATTGAGTCCATTATGCACAGTGTCCCCAACACGAAGCTACCCCAGAGTGTGGTAAGTTTTTTCTTTCAGTAAGATTTTGAATGAGAAAAATAATCTGATATGGTTCCACAAACAACAAATGTTTACACTTCGCGGTGAAGGCCAGGTGCTTATTTCCTCTGACCTTGACCATGGCCAACATGCTCCATCAAAATAACCTTGGGTTACCGGGTATGGATGTATGGGCTTGGAGAGAAATAATAATGGCAAGGACTTGGTAAAAACAGTAATAAGAACAAGATGGAAGAAAAGCAACAAACTGCACCAAAATGGAATGTTCCATTCAGGAAAAAAATCTTCATGGATTTTTTTTTTTTTTTAGATCCACTATTTTGGACTTTCAAAAGTGAAGGCAACATGTTCTAAAATGCTTGGACTGAGCTCAAACAGACTGTGTCATTTCATCTTGACAGAGATCTCTTCCAAAAAAGACTCACTGAATTACTCTGGATATGAATTAAATTCCTTCTGTTGAACAATCTCAACTTTTAAATATTTGGGAGAAAACTCAAGTTGACCAAAAATGCATTTTTTTTTCTTGCTTGATATTCCTTCTGTATGATGCACTGTTATTAGTGAGGGTTTAACATTTACCTTTAACTTACCAATTGCTTATTGGAGAAAAAGTGATGGCAGTCAAACAGGAAAGTACTACAAGTTAAGTTTTTGTTTTGGTTTGCTTTTTGCCCATTAAACTTTAGACTTCATTTTTTTTTTTTTTTTTTTTACAGTCTATAATATGGTTCGGCATTGGCAAATTTACTTGTTTCTTTGACAAAAATTCTTTATTATGTATCTAACATATACCAATTGCTAAGTACCAGTAATTCAGACAGAAAGGAAGGAGACTCCTTTGTTTCAAGGGATCCCTGGCCTGTCGAGGGAGATACATTCACAAGCCAGGGATGACAATACAGGATAATACCTGCCTCTTTAAAGGAGGAGAGGGGACAGGAGAGGGGACAAATGAGCCTGTACTGTGCGGGGAACAGAGATCTCAGGGACTACCATGAAAATGTGATTTGTCCATAAAAATCACTGTGGCGATGATTATAAAAGAAATGATCCAAAGGCCCATGCTAAAATATCTTATGAAGTTATACATCATGTAAGTGTCCAATGCGTCATGCTATGGATAATTTTTTAAAAGTTAGTATTCATTCATTTGCTGCTAGTATATTTCCTTTCTTCCTTTTTAATAAAATTGAAGAAAAAAGGACATATTCATGTGTATGCAAAGTCACTTCAGCTCAAAATAATATTCATTCGTCCATGAATGGAAGGAACAGACACTGAGCAGCCTGCAGAAGGCGCTAGAATTTCTGTTACATTCGGCTCTTTACACACTCATTTTCGAGAGAACTGTCTTACTAGATTTCCAAGAGTGAGTTGCTTATCGTGCACGTTCGCTGATCCTCCAAGATGGATGCATTTTGGGTCAAACGTTTCTGCATCAAACAGGAAGTTCCTGTTCACGATGCCTTGCTCATAATGGCTGAGAAGGTGATCAGGGTCTCTGGCACCACTAGAGTAAGTGAACACCGTCCGGCACCAAACACCGGGGTGTTACATGAGTGTCTCCTTATTGTTTCACAAGGGGGTGTTGGTGACATTTCTAGAGGAGGCACGGTTCTTGGCCTTTTTCTCACGAGAGTGCCCTCTGCTAGCTCGATGAGGGAACACCTCCCATCTGATTAATGAGGCAGGAGGCAGAGGGAGAACAGTCTGGGAGGCCAGGGAAATGAACTGCCCTCTATGTGGCTGCTTTTGGGTGATGGGTGTGCCCTGATGTCACGATATTCTCAGCTAGAGCCATTGGGAGAACGGGCAATGCGAATCTCCTAGGTTTACCCATAAGTTCCACCGAAGGGGAGTTAAATCACATTTTTATTTTCCTAGGAACCCCCCTTCTTCTGTGGGTAAATATGAGTAGCTGTTGGCATCTACAGAAAAATGGGGCTTATAGGTATCAATTTGGAAGTTTCACCTCTCTGGAAAAATTGCAAGATGGAACATCATTTTTGATAATAATCTCTCGTTGTGACGGAGTCACTGGAGGGAAAGGAGAGATTTGTTGTTGGTCCGATTTGTGGTTTAAGTACCAGGGTTTATGACACCTAAGAGTATGCCTTTTAGAGAAAGTTTGATTGGCTCTTCAATTTTCATGGGGCGTTCACCCATGTTTAGGAAAGTCAGTCACTGTGGAGGGGATGATGGAAATTGAAAATATGGTCTCTGCTCCAAAGAGTTTCTAGCATAAGGAAAAGGGCCATTCATTTTTAGACCTTAAAGAAACCTTAAAGGTGATGTGGTCTAACCCTCACGCTTTAAATATAGGGAAATTGAGGCTCGAGGAAGCCAATAATTTGCTCCAGGACACATAGCAGGTGTTAGAACTAGTATTCAGCTCTTTATCTATGATCTTTTAAAAACAATGCATTGGCCTTTCTATGAAAGGGGGTAGGGCTGGGGGGAGACGTACTCTTTGATGACGTGATGAGCTGGGTATCAGAAAGGAAAGCTCTCCACCTACAGGTCTGGGACTACTTATGAGTAAATGCTGTGCTTTGCTTCCCACCAT